AAGCAAAGGATATCTAGTATACAATGTAAATATTATAATCTATATATAAAATTCTGTGACTTCTGTTACTCCATCCGTCTGTCCGTCCGTCACACCCTACCATACACTGACCGATCGAAACCAAATTTGGGGGAGAAGTGCAAACAAATAAAGGGGTACAAAATAGAATTGGTCTTACTAGGGTACGTAGCTTAGTACAATAAATTTTCATTAATAATTTTTTAAAAATTAAAAATTTTATTATTTAACATACAAAATACTCCCACTCTTTTAAAAGCAATTTAATGATTAAAATAACAAATACTTATTTAATAAAAATTCAATATTATTTTTGAATATTTTTTCCTTAAGTTTTTATGCATACAAGAATTTTTTATATATACAAGAATCCAGTTTCCAGTTCGCTCTGTGTTTGCGAGAACTATAAACAAATCAAAAGGTCAAACGTTTCAAAAAGTTGGAATTTGGCTCTAAAAAGAAATATTTATACATAGTCATTTGTATGTTGCATGCTCAAGAATAAGAAATCCGAAGAATTTATTCTTCACTGTTAAAAAGGAAAAATTTTTAAAAAAAAATGTTGTTTGCCATGAAGTCCTATAAAGTTAAATTAAATTAAATTATTAAACAGCGAAATAGGTTATTTTGCCAAAGTATTTTGCAAACAAGTCAGCTTATTCAAATTTCATCAATTGGTTGGCGAAATTGAACAAAAGATAATGTTTGTAAACCTCGACAAAAATGTTTGTGATAACTTCAATGGTATTAAATATTGTAAGAATTTCAACACACGTCAGCGTGTTGCAAAAAATTTCTAGTAATCATAAATTGTACGTTCGTTCTTCTTTCAATCCAAAAAACTCGGTTGACTTTATGATTTGCAGGAATGAGAAGCATCTAGCCTTTCTTAAAACAACGGGTTGATACTTTAAATAGAATTTACATAAGAGTTTTCACTGTTTTGTGACTAGGGTATAGCGACTCGTTCTTTAAATGGTGAATTTGGATGACTATTATAAAATCGAAAATCGTTACACTAGAATTGTGCTCTTAACGCAGTTATAATTGAGACAGAAATCTGAGTCCATTCTTCATGTCACTAAAATAATACAAATGAGTGCTGTGCTTATAATTACTGGGTAACGATTCAAATCTGGAAAACTATTTGGAAGAATTAGAGGTGCAAAGACGAACTGAGAGCCTCCGGTGAGGACACTAAGAAAAGTGCATGGAAGTTTAAGAAACTTTGCATCAAGATCTTTTGCTGTGAACATGTAAATAATAATAATGATAATAATAATAATAACAGGAATAATATTATTATTAATAATAATGGCAATCACCTACTCTACATGGGCGATCTCAAATGCTTTACCAAAGATGACAATGAGTTGAAGGGTTTCCTCAATATTGCAAAATGTTTCATTGACGACATAGGTATAGATTTCAGATTAGATAAATGTGCAAAAGTAACATTCAAGAAAGGGAGAATTAGAGAAACACTCTCAATAAATTTAGATTTTGTCACAAAGATTAGGGAACTAGAACAAGAAGAAGCCTATAGGAATTAGCGAAGGATATTGTATACAGCATACCCAAATGAAGGAGAAGGTAAGAAAGGAGTACTACAGGCGCGTACGTCTGGTGCTGAATACCGAGGTGAATTAAAAAAAAAACAGAATATCAGCCATAAACACCTTGGCTGTCCCTGTAGTGCAATACAGTTTCAACATCCTTAACTGGACTATAGCTGACATTAAGCGAATGGACGCCAAAATGAGAAAGCTTTTCACTTGCTACCGCATGCATCATCCCAAAGCTGATGTTGATCGTCTGTATGTGCCCAGACCTGAAGGAGGCAGAGGATTATTTCAACTAGAACTGTCTTACAAAACTACAACAATTGGCCTTCAAAGATACCTTGAAACTACAGAAAATTGGATGATGATATGTGAAATTGAAAGTAGTAAGCGACTTTATTCCGTAACAAAGGAAGCCAACAAATGGGTGTAGAAATACAAGTAAAGCACAATACACCGATTGAAGCTGGAAAATACTTAAAAAAGGAAGCAAAAGCAAATGCAACCGACAAGATACAGAAATGATGGCAAGATAAACCGATTCAATACACTGCCCGTACCAAACAAGCTGAGGTAGACAAACCCCGTATCCATCAGTGGTTACGTAGTGTAGGGTTAAAAGCTGAAACTGAAGTTTCTATCCTTGCTACACAGGACCAATACTTGTTAACTATAAACAATTGATCATCTTGTATCAGGCTGCAAGGTATTGGCACCCACTGAATATAAAACACAACATGACAGAGTGGGCCAATATCTGCACTGGAAAATCTGCAACTTCTACGGGAAGAAAACTGCCAGAAATTGATATGAACACCACCCAGACCCGGTTACGGAGATAGGACCTGTAACAATTGTATGGGATTTTACAATACACACAGATAGAACAATCAAAGCTAACCGTCCAGACATCGTTATTAGAAACCGCAAACAAAAAAAGTGCCTTCTTATTGATATCGCAGTCCCTGCAGACTGCAATGTATCTTTGAAGATCTTCAAAAAGCTATCAAAATACAAGGAGCTTGAAATCGAAATCTCAAAAATGTGGCACATAGGAACATCAGCAATCCCAGTTGTAGTTGGAGCTCTTGGATTGGTTGGAAAAGATTCCAGTAGACTCATTGAAGGATTCCTGGAAGCCCATGCCTTAAAGAAATACGAAAAAATTGTTCTGACAAGTACAGCCCACACCTTACGAAGGGCTTTATCTATGTAAAATATGTGTGGGTGTGTGTTTTGTCAATTGCTCAGTGGAAGATGTCATGATGCCATTTCTGACCTTAGGTCTCTGGGCGGGACCCGGAAAGAAATGTGTACACACAAGAAACCAAAGGTAATAAAATGAAAATAATGATAATAGTAGTAGAAGTAGTAGTATAGTAGTAGCAATAATAATAATAATAATAATAATAATTGCAGGTATTGGATTGTGATTTAGAAAAGAATTCATCTTCGGCACAGTGTTCAATACTTTGAAAAGAATTGGACACAGATATAGATAAAAAAATGATCGGTTTATGTTTTCAAGTTAAGAGAGCTGAACTGAAATCGAACTTCCTACCAGCAACCAACATCATATGTTGGGCCGAATAATAATAATAATAATGATAATAATAATAATAATAATAATAATAAGTGTTTCTACTGTGATTGGAGCTTTGGATCTGATAAAGAAATGAACAAATCAACAAAATGCCTGGTGCTCCATCTCTCCAAATCCCAAAAAATAGTTCCAATAAGCATGGCTCATATCATGTGGAGTGCTTTAACCATTTAAGTTATTTTAAAATTTCTTTTGCTTAAATGCAAACAACAGAAAATCAGATCTTTTGTTTGCCCCAGGTAATTATTTATCTCTCAGGATGTGATTATAAAAGAAATGCAGGTCATAATAATAATATTCCAGAAAGAATACAAAAGTAGGCATGACTAGGCGAGAAGGGGGATCCACTTGGAACTGGACAAAAGAGTACATTTTAATTACACATTGCATTGGTATATGCACAAATCATAATCTTTCCAAGAGATCGAAATACTGTGAGAACTTGAGATTCGAACAGATCAACTAATTCAAGGTACCTGGCCGGATCTGGTCATAACAAAAAAAAAAAAAAAAAAATGCCAAACATTGTAAACCACAGAAACGATATGAACGGAAGTGACAAAAGATATGAACGGAAGTGACAAAAGATATGAACGGAAGTGACAAAAGAGTCTTAACGTTGCCAGATAACTTTTGGAACATGAAAGTGACAGTTATTACAACAAAAAAATCTTGAAGAGTTTGGGGGAAAAACTCGAAGAATTGTAAATTCGGGCTTGAGTGATTTCTTTTTTTTTATGATTTATGAACCTTTTGTTTCCTACTTAAAGCCAAATTATATTTTAGATTGTAGTAATAATAATTGTGTTTTGCGAATGAATTAACATTAACAATTTTTAGGAGATACATATTCTACTATTTCACCCATAGCTGAGGGGGTGAGAAAAGGTGGTATTTGTGTATAGATGAATGTAACGATCTCGAAGTTATAGAAGTAAAAATCCCTAGCTACTGAAGAAGTGCAACAATTTTGAGAGAATATTTGGAACCACCCAAAGAAATATAATCCCAGTGCAAAGTGAATCAAAAGCGAACAAGAAAGAAAGAAAAATAAACCTGTACAAAAATGGGAAATTATAACCGAATATAATACAAGGCAATTACTAACAGATTATTCCAAATAGAAATCATCAGGAAATGACAAGGTGACCAACTTTGGGACTTTCTCGTCAATGGATAAAACACTTGTGCAAAGTTTCATCAAATAATCCTAATATAATTCCAGATTAAGCAAACATATTAAACAACTGTGTTGACTCAAAATGTAGATTCTTTGATGAATATCCAGAAATGAATGGCCATTTTGTATCAGGTTGCACATTATTAGCATTAGGTTAATGTAAATCTCGTCATGACAGGGTAGGCGTATATCTTCACTGGAAAATCTGCAAATTTTATGGAAAGGAAACTGCCAAAAATTTATAAGAATACCACCAAAAACTCAGTTATAGAGGAACTGTAACAATTTTATGGCACTTTACAATACAGACAGGCAGAACAATGAAGGCTACACAATCCAGACATTGGGATCAAAAACCACGGAAATGTCTGCTTGACATAACAATTCTAGAAGACTCTTATCTAGTTTTAAAGATCTTCAAAAAACTAATACAAGGATCTTGAAGAGGAAATTTCAACACTGTGGGCTAGGAAACCATCAATAATTCCACTTGTGATTGGGCTACTAATTAACCCATATCTGGGGGGAGAAGTGGTGGATTATTTCCCAAGGGTATTTGCGCGCAAGTGAATATAACAACGGGAATTGGAACTCGGCTCTACGAGTCATTATCCACTACACCACTCACACATCCAAACATGCGGCAACTGGTATTTCCAAGCGGTCACCCAACTAGGTACTGAGCAGGATCGACGTTGCTTAACTTCGCTGATCGTATGAGAACCGTGTTTCAACTTGATAAGACCGTAAACTACTCTTATTCAGTTATAATAATAGAAAGATTCACTTGTACAAGGCAATACTGTTCTAACAGAGTGTCATTAGAATGAACACTGTTTCCGAAGAAGTATGCGCCGATATAGAAATGTATTCAACATGAAATGTATTAAAAATAGGTTAATAGTAGAAGTAATAACGTTCACTTCGTACTCAGATTTACTTTGGACAAAGTTTATACTCTTCAAGCTACTTCCGAATTTAAAGCAGTAAGCACAACGGAATCCTCTGAAAAAAATTAACGAAGCACTTGAGAACCAAAATTGTCGAAATGCTTCTGAAAATTACTGTCATTTTCTCGCAAAGTACAGTTGAAAAAAAATTAAATTTAGGCAAAGGAGGAATTAACTAAATAATTCCTGATAAATGGCCACACTTGTCAGGCTTAATATTCGTTGTCACCAGTTTCGTTGGAGAGGTTTTTTTTTTTTTTTTTTTTTTTTTTTAGCGCACCTCCGCAAGTAAAAGAATGCAGTGGCAACCGTGGATGGGTGCCTGATGGATAGCAACGAGTTCAAATTTCAGTCGGGTTCGTTGCATTCGCTTATGCGCAAATATCCTTGGGAAAGGCATGAAGCCATCTTTCCCTAATTACGAGTTAAGTAGAAGGACTTGTATCTGGAAAAGTCTTTGCTGCTTTCAAAATACATTGTTAATGCAATATTCACTCGCCAAAAAAAAAGAAAATTAATCTTACAATCCAAAATATGTTGCTGTTTTACATAACCAACAAAGGGTTGATAAGCCGTAAAAAACGTTCAATCAATCATTGACGCGCCTTCTTGGCTTGAAGGAATTTTAAAAGTAAAAAAAGATAAATATTATAAAAGAACAGATTCTCTATCAGTCACGTTTTGTTTGCGTGTGATTTTGAATGTGCGTATGTAATATATATATATATATATATATATATATAAATTTCAATAAAGATAACTGACAAAGTACTGTGACTAATCTTTTGATTAAATTTTTCTTGTGTTTCTTTAAGATAAAAAATAACGAGAGAGTTAATAATAAAAAGGGAAAAGCTAACACTCAATAACAACAACTATGAACACGGCCACAATGTGCTGACCGTGTTTGAAAAAGACACACAACATTCCTATCACTATGATTGCATATATATATATATATATATATATATATATATATATATATATATATATATAAAATCTTCAGCTAACAAAAAAATAATTGATAATGGTTAATAAATAGCCGAAAACGCTCGAATATATTAGAAAATTCGGATACGTTATGTCCAGACATGAAAACATTTATACGAACACATAAAAAAAATTGATGTAAAAAGTTAATCGCAGTATCTTGTCAGGCTTCTTTAATGACACCTGTATAAAAGAAAGGTTGCTGCCCAAATGCACAATTATTATATATATCATCATCATTATGGCTTAGCTTCGCAAAACGAAGATCAAAAGGGAGCCTGTTCCCGTTAACTGCAGACAAGTTTGCGGGACAGGCCCACACGGTTGCAGCAGTTGCAACTAAATGTCCAGCCTGGGCTCGATAGCATAGCATTGCAGTACTTCCTCCTTTGCCTCTTGTCCCTGAGAGCGGCCCTGCAGGTATTTTCAAAGAAGGAGAGAGCATGGGTGGTGGTGAGACGCTAGATGTCACGGTTCTCAGCTAGGCTTGACCATTGGCAATGGTCGATGTGACAGGCATCAAAGGATTTTTGGCAATCCTTGAATCGCTTCTTTGGTAGCCCTCTGCCGCGCTAGCCAGAAGAGAGCTCGCCATACAATCAAATTTTAGGTCGGCGACGATTCTCCATCCTGGAAACATGTCCAGCCCAGTGTAGCTGGAACTTCAGCAGCATGGCGTCAATGCTGGTGATCTTCGCCTTTTCAAGGACTTCAATATTGGTGACGAAGACACTCAAGTGGATGTTAAGGATTGTGCAGAGGCAGCGCTGGTGGAACAGAATGATATCGGAAAGAGCAACACAAATGCAGAAGGATGCACATTTACACTTTAATTGCATAAAAGCATTTAAGATCTATTTGAACTGCTCGGAAAACTTGATTTATTTCGGAGGGTGTTAGAATAATGAAGAAATTGTACTGGGAAAAAGTTGAGTGTACACGGATAAAAAATGAATTGATTAGGTACACAAAAATAGAAAGAAGCGTAAGACAAGGCTATGCCTTCTTACCGGATTTATTCAATCTCTACAGTGAGGCTATCCTAAGGGAGCTGGTGACTCTATCAGGATTTATTATCAGTAGGCGCAATATTAACAATATAAGTTACGCAAATGACACAGTATTCATGGCAGACACAGAAGGAAAACAGAATCAAGCGGGAATAGAACTAGGTAAGCTGGATTCACTTTCCAGTCTTATTATCATTACATTATCCGCGCCGATAACCATGACATTATACGCACCTTTAAATTATCACAAATATCGCGCTTTAGTATTTGTTTGATGGTTTCCATAGATTTATATGCAGAATTTTTGGTGATAACTTTTTGCATGTTTTTTTTTTTTTTTTTTTTAATTTTTCATCTTAGGCATAAAATGAACAAGGCTTTCAATTTACCCGAGTTCTAATTAAAATTGTTAGAATGGTTCAGTTTAATTTTAATTTCACATCTTTTGGCTACGACCAGACTTATTTTCCCCACTTTGTGACTGGCCAATAAGCAACTCACAATTTGCCCTTATGTTTTATTGAGTTTAATGTTATCATTTCTAAATCAACCGTTCACTTCCGCTGGCCACCATCATAATTTTAAAATGGCGTTGTAGTTGTTGGCCTATTGGTTAAAAATAGCTAATGGCGAGCAATTCTGAATGGAGAGAAAACACAACCTTTCTTTTACCGTTTTCCTTTGCACTCTATGTCCTTATTTTTTCTTTCATGTTAATTTTTTTTTAATATTATGATGATTCTCTTTTTATCGAGCTTCTCCGACATTCTTTGAATTAATTTATTGTGTTACTGATTCTGTTGCTAGTTGTAAGTCTGAAATCCCACGCACGCTTTCACATATGCATACATACATACATAGTCTGACATAAATACAAACATACGGATACCAACACACACACATACATGCACACACACACACACACAGAGGAAAATGAAGCAAAATAAACAAGAACGTACACAAGAGCGCACACATCTATCTATCTATCTATCTATCTGTCTATCTATCTATCTATCTCGTATAAAATACCTGTGGGGAAAGATATCTTCAATTAGTCTTTTTTTTTTGAGATTCCAACAATTTAAAACGTGTTGAAATTAATAAAAATATAAAGAAAATGCAAAATATATCATTCTTGTATTAGCCTGACCATTCAAGGAGTACCTTAAAAATGCATTCAGTTATTCGTTTATCTTACTTATTGATGATTAAAATTTCTCCGGCCGATTACGAAGCTCTTAAAAATTCTAATATTCAGTCATATTTTTGGAAGTGACTCAATTCGTGAACATTTAAATGGAGGAATAGAAGAACGGAACGAAGAAGTATAGGCAAAAAGAAAAAGAAAGAAAAGTGAGAGAACGAAGGGAAAAATATTCTTCTTCTTCTTCTTCTTCTTCTTTTTCTATATACCGTGTTCCTTCAGGACAGAGCGATCATGAATCTCCACAACTTCCTAAGTTTGGTAGTTCTTAGCAATGTTTGACTTTTTATTATCTCTCCTCCTTGTTTTCTCATCCATTCTAGAGCTGCTCAGTACTTTCTTGTCTGTCTTGATAGAGTTCAAAGGCGTCTACGCAGCCTTATTTACCACACTAGAACCCCCCTTCTCCACAGACGAATCGTCGCGAAACTCTCGCTCCTTTATAGCTATTTCCATAATATGTGTTCTGAGGAACTACATTCGGCTGTCACATTCGGCCAGACCTTTGCAACTGGGACCTACCATGCCTCGGTACACAAGGATATATCATCCTCATTCTCTATGTATTCTATTAGTAAGAAGTATGTTCCATTCAGATTGATTCTTTCCAAGAACTGCTTCTTTTTGGAACAGACATCCGCTAGGATATTTTTCCAATCACTATAATCTAATCTTTACCTCTGTCCTGCATAGACCCATGAAATTCACTTGTTGCCTTTTCTTACATTCATATAAAACCACACAGTAACCCTCTACCTTGAGTGACTCTTGTGCCTTGTATTGGGTGAACATTAACATAAATCTCTTTCCCTCTTTTCTTAAATATGTCCCACGTGTGTCTGATTTTCCAAGCTTTCTTTTCTCACTATGTAGTAGAGAGAAACAAAAAAGATACAAAGATAGGGAGCGAAAGAAAAAAAACAAGAGAGAAAAATAAGAAAGTTTCAGAGGGCGTGGAATGAAAAAAAATAGATGAGAGGTTAGAGAGAGTAAGGCGACGGGAGAGAAATACCTGAGAGGGTATGATTTAACGGAGAGAGAGAGAGAGAGAGAGAGAGAGAGAGAGGGGAGATAGAGAGAAAGAAATTGTGTGCATTGAACCATTTCTAACGAGGCAATGCAAACAGAGTTTCTTTGAATTCGCAAGACAAAGTACACTCCCTCTTATAAGGGCAACACTTTCTTCTCTCTCTCTCTCTCTCTCTTACGAGATGCTTTTCGAAAATGACATCTTTAATTCTCTTAACCGGAAATACCGATATTTCTACTCTTTAGCAGCGTCCATATTAAGCTAACACAACAGTCACTTTGTATTACGAGGTAAATTAAAGCGTAAAATCTACCCAGTACACTTTAACTTCAGCTTCCGGTCCAAATTAGACCGGAAGAAAAATGTAGAAAAATAAAAACCTTATATTTCATATAAATTGTTTCTAAGCATAGTTATATTTTTACACCAATATATCTCCAATACAATACTCAAAAGCCATTCATAGTAGAGTTCTACTGAATGTGTGTGGTATGAATATAATGGAGGATGGAAGGAAGTGAAGATTATGAAGATAAGGAGGACAGATAGCAATTGACGCTTGTTT